TGTGGTCGTGCTGGGGAGTGGTCGTGCTGGGGTGTGGTCGTGCTGGGGGTGGTCGTGCTGGGGTGTGGTCGTGCTGGGGGGGTGGTCGTGCTGGGGGGTGGTTGTGCTGGGGCGTGGTCGTGCTGGGGCGTGGTCTTGCTGGGGCGTGGTCGTGCTGGGGTGTGGTCGTGCTGTGGTGAGGTCGTGCTGGGGTGTGGTCGTGCTGGGGTGTGGTCTTGCTAGGGTGGGGTCGTGCTGGGGTGGGGTCGTGCTGGGGTGGGGTCGTGCTGGGGTGTGGTCGTGCTGGGGTGTGGTCGTGCTGGGGTGTGGTCGTGCTGGGGTGTGGTCGTGCTGGGGAGTGGTCGTGCTGGGGTGTGGTCGTGCTGGGGGGTGGTCGTGCTGGGGGGTGGTCGTGCTGGGGGTGTGGTCGTGCTGGGAGGTGGTCGTGCTGGGGCGTGGTCGTGCTGGGGCGTGGTCGTGCTGGGGCGTGGTCGTGCTGGGGTGGGGTCGTGCTGGGGTGTGGTCGTGCTGGGGTGTGGTCGTGCTGGGGGGTGGTCTTGCTGGGGTAGGGTCGTGCTGGGGTCGGGTCGTGCTGGGGTGTGGTCGTGCTGGGGTATGGTCGTGCTGGGGTGGGGTCGTGCTGGGGTGGTCGTGCTGGGGTCTGGTCGTGCTGGGGTGTGGTCGTGCTGGGGTATGGTCGTGCTAGGGTGGGGTCGTGCATTTCGCTCGAGACATCCTGCCAAAATTCTAGGAAATCGTACAAAAACAAACGAATTAGTCGAGACATCATCGAAATTCCTTCGCGCGGGGCGCTTTTCCGCGTCGCGGTCGGCTCTGCAAAACAAGCGTTTCGCTCGAGACATCCTCGGCAAACTCTGCGGAGCAAGCGTTTCGCTCGAGACATCCTCAACACACGAAAAAGTGGCCCGCACCCTGTGATTTATCGATCGGGCTTTCAAAAACAAGCGTTTCGCTCGAGACATCCTCAAATTTTAATTCGCCGGCCTCCTTCGACCTCGATATTTATCAGGGAAAAAATTCGCCGGCCTCCTTCAAGTTGGCACCGGGGGATTAGGTTTACCAACTAAAGAGAACCCTGGGCCGGCGCCCTCCTTTCCGGGAAAACAAAGGAATTAGTCGATACATCATCGAAATTCCTTCGGCGCGGC